TTATTGATCTAACATGTCTAATATGATCTAACATGTCTAATAGCAGCTATATATTGGCAGTTGTTCTGTTTGTTCAGCAGTTAAAACAATCATCACTGACATCCAAATTTATAATTTCTTATGTTATTACAGGTGTCCAAAAAGATAAAATGCGGGCAATTTTAATCAACATTGGTCATCCACAATAAGTTCTAAATGAATCGTGCTTCTTTATATCGATTCAAAAATTGATTCGTTATTTACTAACCGTTTATTACGGTCTTTTGAATGTAGCGACTTTGAGTTTAGCGAACTTAGGATTTTAGGTCGATCCTTGACTCGAACTTTCCTAAAAAAAGTCTTTCATTCTTTCTCTCTCTCTCTTTCTAAATGAATTATATATTTGTACTAGTCTTGTCTTTTTTCCTGAAGAATTTTTAATGATTATAAAGATTTTTGTTAAATTTTAAACGCAAGATCATACACGAATAACGGCGTCGAACTTCATGGGATCGAGGGTTCAACTTTCCACTGGAGCACGTCCTAACGGTTCTCTTTCCTATATGTTCTACTGTCATGCTATTTTTCCTTGATATTGTTTTATTGTCATTTACCAGCTTTTTTTTATTTCGCACACAAGATCATAGTCGAATAGAGTTCTAAAGTGATGACCTCACACAGCGAAAATGTTTGAGTTTTTAAAGTTGCCCTTCATATTCTGAAAGTGCATCATTTTTAAGGCATCCTTGCTAAATATGAGTGTCTTATTATATAGCGAATAACACACGATTTCATTGGCTAAAAAATGGGCCGTACTTYCCCGTACTGACCAGGTGAAACGAGAAAACTTTTTTTATCTTATTGACACATTCTAGTTAGCCAATCAGCGTGCGAGAATTAATCTAAGTGTGGTAAAACACAATATTTTTAAAATCGTTGAGCTAGACTTAAATGCATGGCTACGTAGAGATGGCATGATGCATCAATGAAATTGTATGTTGCTATGGAAGGTCAAGGCAGACGTCTTGTCACCTGTATGGTTTCAGCCGAAAAACATACACCACAAGAACTATCTCTACCTCTCAAAAGCACAAAAAACACATAGACAGTCCTGGAAGGGCAAGGAAACCCGCCCAATTCCCCAATGTTTAATGCTCGTCCTAAGACATAAACCACGCCCTTTTCTTTCCCTTAATTCGCCTAGAGACACGTCAAGATACCCAAAGTGACCTCCATTGTTATGTCAGGGTCTGAATGGGGTTAACTGTTAACTGAGAAACGGCTAAAATATTAACTGTTAACTGAGAATTTCGGGTTTATTTAGCTGATAACTGATATTAACGAGATTCCTCGTTCCCAGGGCTTCTCTGTTTTTGTTTTTGTTTTTTTTCAAAACTGGCGGACAGATATAGCCCTGGCATCGGACGGTCACGTGACACCAACTCTCAGTGGGTGTTTAGTTTGGAATGCCGCTGAATGCAGGCGCCAAAAATGACACGACCCCGATGACGATTCCTTCGCTTTGTGTAGAGCGGCTCCGTCGGGCTCTCCTGATGTGCTAGCACACTTCTTGCAAACGATCAGTTTTAGCAGTACCAGGGACCGCTCGGAGCAGGGGGAGCTGGGGGGCTAGAGCTTCCCCCGCCCCCCCGATAATATTTCCGACATTTTGAATTTTCTTTAATAAAGAAGCGAAGGCCTCCTTATGAATTCTTTGGGATTTTATTAATACACCTTTTGCTGTTCATTAGATTAAAACGTACACTCATTTGTGCCAAGCGATGCTTCAATAACTTTTATTGTACTTTCTTGAACACCGTAAGCAACATCATTGGCGCGAAACGACTTTCAATAGCGATATTTAAATACGCACGAGCATTCAACAATATCAATAGACAATCAACTGAACGACTGGACAATCATTTGGGTGGAACGCTGTTTCATGTACGCGCAATGAAAATTCAATAGCACCAATTGACAAACGGTTGCATTTATTGACAATCATTCAACCAAAAATGAAACTTCATTAGTGTTATTAGCATAAACATAGG